TTTTAGTTTTCTACATTCGCCTTATAATCTAGCTGTTTTTGCTACTTTTTGCCATCTTATTTTAATTTGTAAAAAAAAATAAAAATCTCTACGCCTCTTTTTATAACTGTTTATTGTTGTCGCTGTTGTCATCTTTCTTTATTGAAAATGAGTCCTGGAGGCTCAATGGGATTAACCTGTAGAAATAAAGGTTGGATGGATGAAAAAAATCTTTAAAATAGGTCCAGCCACTGCTCCGACTTACGAGTAATTGCAAATGGCAGATCAGTGTTTTGAAAAGTTTCTGAAAGATCCAGTGACTCCGCCCCCTGACCAATCAGTGACCAACATTGCGCTGACGTCACGCTTTGGTGCCGGTTCGTCTCGCTTGGTACCACCAGAAAAGCAGGGACCAAAAAAGGTGCTGGTTCTACGAAAAAGTGCTATAGTGGAAAATGGCTCAAAAGCATACCGAACTGAGTCGAGTCGTGTTAATAAGGTACTATGGAAAAGGGGCATAAAGGAGGTCTGAGATGTTGAGGATGGCCGTTTGAACCCAGATAAAGTGGTTCTGGTACTGAATTGGCACTTGCCAGTTGGCTCACCTGGTTGTATCCTTGCTGGTTGTATTCAGGTTGGTAGCCTCCCTGGTTGCTTGCGTATGGGTCTTGTTCGTACGCTCCCTGCTGTCCGTAAGCATCAGGGGTGGGTTTTGCCTGAGGGGGTGGAGCCCGCATGAAGGGAGCAATGATCCCTGTCTCCTTGAAGACGAACCAGAGGTTTCCAACCCACAGAATCAGATTAATGAAGCCAAACGCCTGTGAGATGAGACAAATGTACAAATTCAGAAGATTACCCATTTCCTCGGATCCTCGGGTCCAGTTAAAGTCTCACCACAGACGTGTTGAGTCCGGACATGACTGGATCATGGACTTCACGGCACCGGTTCCTCTCACTGTCACAGGCGTCAATCATGGTGATGACCTCATCTGGGTCGGTCGCGGTCTTCACGTCAGACAGACCTTTGGCCCATGCTGCCGAACTCACCAACCACATGAAGGCAAACACTGCGGTCACTCCGAGGTCCTGGAACAGAATCAATTTGGAGGTCAGCACTTCCTGTTCCTGTTCATTCATTCTTCCAACATTAACATACATGACATGTTCTTCCTTGCATTCTTCCTCACACATGTTCTAAAGGAGCAGGTGTCCAGTTACATCACCACTAAACAACCGCTACACAACTGTTAAAACAAAATCTCTGTTTCTCAATGACAAAACCTCTCCATCAACAAACCGAGCCAACGTGCAGGAAACTTCTGCCAGAGGTCCGTGGGGCGGTCCCAGAACTGCACTTACAATCAGAGGGCCCTTGTTGTTCTCCTTGTACTTCTCATAGAAGAAGATGTAGATGCTGAGGGCCGCCATGGAGTAGAGGAAGGCAAAGACGCCGATGGTGACGAAGAACTCAGCTGAAGAAGAGTAATCGCCAACCAGGAAGACGCGCTCCTTGTTCCCCTCCTTACAGGTGGGGGCGTCAAAGTACACCTGATGGAGTCTGACAGAAAAAAGTGGAGGATGGCATTGTGAAGCACTCTCAATGAGGTCTTCCTAAAACCAGAACCTAAACCCGATTCCTCCGGGGGCCGGAGGGTAGAGGTGGGGTCTCACCTGAACGGATACTCAAACTCCACATCGATGCTGAGGTCACTGTCTGTCCGGTTCTTACACTCCACTGCCATCTTGAACATCCCAGAATAACTGCCACAGGTGGAGAAGGCGAAGATGGCGAAGAACTGCAGGAAGACAGAGAAAAGATGGAGGTCAGTGATCAGAGGTTCTGTCAGGGTTACTGAGTTTGAATGTTGTAAATATTCTGGACAGCAGTCTGATAATAGCTTCTTACAGCTTTCTGTTAGAGTTTTAGAATGAAAACATTTTTGCAGGATTAAAAACTAAACAGATTTTAGTAACACTTTGAGTATCTGGGTCAAAATGTTCTTGTTAAATCATGACATTTGATCCTGGTCTTTGGTTTTATGAGTCATCAGCATTGGCTGGATGATAAATCATCAGTTCTTTCAGACGACTGCATATGATCAGGGTTACCATCCTAACCCTGAAGAACCTGAGTGGGCGGAGCCTGTTTACCTGCATTTACTCACCCATTGTAAGACTTTGATGAAGCCCAGAGGAACCTTGAGGACCCTGAACTGACCCTGGGCCACCAGCTGCAGGAAGAAATACAGTCGTTATTTAACACTAGAACCAAGCAGGCACACTGGATCCAACCAGCCCAGGGCCCTGATTCAGAAGAACCTCAAGGTAATAGGAAGAGGAAGGGGTGCGACCTATTTTGAAAGAGGAAGGAGCTACTATGATTCCTGTTTGACCCTCCGAGCTGACATTACTTGATGACAGAGATGTCATGCTGACTTCTGCTCATTGTAGCCTCACTGTCCCACCTGTCTCCCTCCATCAGGTGGTACCTCCACTTCTCCAAGTTCTCTTCCACCTGCTCAACAGAGCAAGTGAGAAGGGCTCAGAGCCCATCCTTGATGCACTCCCACCTAGAGCTGCCATTTCTAACCCGAGCCCTAAGCCCGGCCCTATCCGACCTGAATTCGGGGCGAGCCAGGCCATGATAATGTGATTAATGGGCGGGCCGTGTCGGTGTGGGGCTTTTAATTGGGTCAGGATAAGCCGCAATCCAATTATATGAAAACATGGCCTGCCATACTTTCACCAGCCACACACAACCATTTCACCGTGAGCTGACCGGCCTTGAAAGAGGTAAAAAGTTCAGTTAAGCTTCAGATGGACTGTACTGCCAGGCAGCGATTCATCGCCCAAATGGACGTTCATTCAGTCGCTGCACTCAGCGGACGCACGCGGCCGATGACCCAAACAGGTGAGATCTCAAAGCAGACGTGTCAGAGCAGGGTCCGTGAATAAATCAGAATGCAGCAGAAGCAGGGATTAAATGCTCTTTTATGGCCATGAAAGGACAAACACGCCCTCAGCTCCGAAATTTCTGCCTTTTATTTAGCTGCGCGTCTCTGACCGTTAATGATTAATTAAAAATGTCAGGTTTTTTTCTGGTTCTGACCTGTAATTACTGTTAATTTGTCTGGTAGGGTGGGGTTCGGAAATTATGACTGCGGGCTGGAGCCGGGTCAGAGTTTTTGGACCCAAATGTAACTATACTTCCACCTCCACCATGAAGCTATCTGTCACTCCTACAGTACATCTTACCACTGTCCTGCTGTCCTCGTACATGTCCTGCTGTCCTCGTACATTGAGGACATTATTTTTATTGTTTTTATGTTATGAGTGCTTAGTGTACATTTAGTTGATGTTTTTCTTAGTTCATATCTTAGATCTTATTACTGTTTTTATTTTACATTTTATTGTTGGATGTAACTGGGACCCTGAGTGCATAATTTTGTTCCACAACATGTACCACATGTGGTGGAACGACAATAAAGAAACTCTGAATCTGAACATGAACTGGTGACAAGCAACAAGAGGAAGTACTTGAAGTCTGTCAGAAGACAGTTTGGTCCTTCGGTGTATTTAGTGTCAAAAGATGAGTTAAACCAGTTTAGTTTAATTTAGTTCTTACATCTAATGGAAGGAGAACTTTGAGGAGCTAACGAATGAAGAGAATGAAAGACAAAGAAGAGTAGAGCTCATAGAAACTGTGGACCAGGACGTGGGAAAGATTAGTGAGGGTGAAGTCCAGAAAGCTCTGAAAAGAATGAAGAAGGGGAAGGCAGTAGGACTTGTTAGACTGATACATGGCATGTATGAGGACATCAGGACCTGTATGAGGTCATCAGGACCTGTATGAGGTCATCAGGACCAGTATGAGGTCATCAGGACCAGTATGAG